CCAGTGAAGCATTCCGCTCTGGGCCTTCGCTCGGAATGCTTCGCTCTCCGTGGCTCAAAATGCCCTTCGAACTGCGCGGAGGCCTGAGAAATCGCAGAAATCCGGCTGCCTCGCAGAGACCTCTTTGACGCGGCGAGGTCACGGCAACGTCACACCTCTGGCGAGTCGAATTGCTCACGCGGACGACAACATGCGTGCTGAGGTTTGAGGCAATTGGCTTGGTTGTGCCAATTGAATGTTGAGAATGAAGTGGACTGATTGGCAGCCTGATTTGGCCGCAGTGCGAATTTGCTCTTTTCGAAGCGTTTGGCGTGCTTAGCTACCAGGGGCAAGGGCGCGCAAGGGCGCGCAAGGGCGCGCTGGCGGGCGTGCTTGGATGCTTCACGTCCGGTGCATGCAATCCTCTCTGTTCGATACCAGCTCGGTCAACGGAGGTCCGTGACCTGCGCTCCCTTCGTCCGTGACAGTTACGGGAGTCAAACCGGATTTGGATCCGGACCTGGGAATGAAGACGTTTCAGAGCAGATGGCTCAGCAACAGCAACAGGTTTATCATTGTCTAGTCTTGGTAAAAGCACTACCCAGCCATCATCATCCAGCCTGGCGGAGCTAAGATAATTAAATAGTCTTCAATTTCTCAAAGTGAGGGAGCTCTGGTCTGAGGGTCATCATCAACAAAAACATCACACAAAGGGTAAATCAATGTAATAATTGTTATCATATTCTATAAATCCGTTCTTTTGATTCTGCATGCACCTTCACCTTTCTCACAGGCCACATGGGGCTAACACGCAGAGCTGGATCTGCGGATATCTGCGGCATCCGGCCATCGGGCGGGAGCACCCAGACGCAGAGACTGCCGCAGAGGCTGACAGAGTCAGGGACAACGTGAGAACTTCCAAGTCAGTTTAAACACCCATTGCAATTAGTAGCTCGGACGCTACTAGGGTGCAGGCCATCGCTAGTAGGTGGAGGCCATTACTGTCGATCAATGAAGGTCAATGAAGGTCACCCAGATGAACTTGAAAGTCTACGGATCCCTTCCATGGAATTTCCCTTCCTGATCTGGAATTATCTCCCAGCGGGCACGCCAAGCTTGCGGAGCTTGCGGAGCAGCCTTCTAAGAGCGATCTGGAGCCGGTTTCCGGCGAAAATCCAATCGCAAAGCCTGCTACTAGTAGCATCCTTGTTACTAGTAGTAATGGCCTCCACCTACTAGCGATGGCCTCCACCCTAAAGAAACTCATACTGCAGTGGGTTTTGTAGAATTCACAGTTTGCGCCAATCCACAGTTTAGAGTTTAGAGCTCTTCATGATCCCTACAGATTGCTTTCATATCTACAACTGAGACTGCAACCATGTTTATGAAACTCAATGTGCGATGTCTAGAGGAGGTTGAACAACCAAGGCTGGCCTATGCCATGTATGCAACTGTTTATAGTATAATAGGGCCTTATTGTCAAGTCTCTCATTCCTTTTTTGCCTTTTGAAACAAGAACATGAGTGCTTCTTATGCTGGATGACACACTTCTCCACTCCCCCCGCGTGATCTGAGGCCCAAACTGTGGCGCGTCTGAAGCGACACGTCTCACCGTGGAAACGCGCACAATCGTTTCGTCTCACCCCAAAAAGGGAATCACCTCCCTGGCTCCAAGGAAGCTTCCGCCCCAAAAAGGTTTGCCTGCCTAAGCCTGGTAGCCTGGTCATGACATGGGAACGATGGTTTGCTGCGGACCTTAGTCTATGTCTGTGTGTGTTGGCATCAAAGAACATCGAGGGTTGTCTATGTCTGTGTTGCTCCTAGTAGGATCCTTGCTCCTAGTAGCGATTCCATACCTAGTGCACCTAGCAATACAAACCACTTTGGACCTCACTGGAAACGTGAGGAGATGTGAGGAGCGGGGCAAGCGGAACCCCACTCTAGCGTGACTAGACCTCTGAGAAGATACCGGAGCCGGGTTAGAATCAGAGCCTCCATTTCGTGGGTGCCAGAGACTCTCGGTTTTCAAAGAAAGCCCGAGTCCATGAGGTCACAGAGTCAGAGATGGTGAGAATGGAATGACATGCTGTGAAGACTATATGCAACAATTGCAAACACGCAACCCTATCAACCTTGGTGGGGCGCCCTCATGCGCCCTCACAACCAAGCGCCATCTTGATTCAAACCTCTCTCTGAAACGGCACAACTAGAGCAAGTCTCTGTCTTCCAGCACGCCTGGAGCCCCAGGAATGAGTGGGAGACACTGCATGGTTTTGTGCGCCTTAATTCTAATAACTAATAGCTTCTTTGTTACTACTAGTAAGGCACCTGTTACTACTAGCGTGGCACTTGTTACTAGTAGTAACTTGTCAAAATAGACCAATGTTTTCGTTCATCGTTTGGCTGTCCCCAGTTGGAGTCGGTTTTCAGTTAATGCACTGGCCTACATGATCAAGCAAGTCGTTTCGTTGGACTCCCTCTTTTGGTGATTTGGGATGTCCCAGAAACCTTGCAACATGGCAGTTGTGCTGATTTAGATCATGCTGCTGGGGAATTCTGCATGAAACTGCTGCTCCATCCAGTGCTCCTGAAACACATGACTTGGGATTGGAAGGATGATTGATAATTGTTCAATTGTTAGGTACAGAGTGGCCGGTGTGCCATCGAATCTCTTCTAGACCCTCCAACGCTTTGTGGTGCAACACGCAGAAACAATAGCGAATCGTCCAGAAACCGCTGGGAGGATTTGAGCAGAAACCGCTATTAGGTTGGAGGCCATCGCTCTTAGGTTCCTTTTGCTATTAGGTTGGAGGCCATTGCCATTTCTTTGCTTTTCACGTGAACACCTCGAGCTGACTAACCCTCCGGCTGAGCTGCTTGTCCCAGGCTGCTGAGCTGCGCAAAGAAGGAAGGCGTGGAAACGGAGCAAGTTCTGCCGGAAAAGCAGAAAAATCCGCCTCAGAACATGGAGATAGATGTGCGAAATTCTCAGCTGGGTTTGGAGAGTTGGATGAAGAGAACGAAGAAGAGAACCTATGTTGATCCAATGGGAACTTTATTACTTTGGATGTGTTTGGTTGTTGTGAACTGGGTGTTTAAAGGTACCTTGCTACTAGTAGCGTCCTTGCTTACTAGTAGTAGTGGCCTCCACCCTAGTAGCGATGCCCTTTGTTACGTTCGTAGCTTCTTGTTCCTACTAGCAATGGCCTCCAACCTACTTGCGATCACCTCCACCTAATAGCGTCCGTGCACCAACCATCAGGGCCTGGGGCTTTCCCCGAAGGGGGCACCTTGACACATCGTGATGCCCAAACTCCGAATCGGCAACGACGACTGTGGCGACAGTGAGGAAAGGTCCTAATGGGGGGAGTAGATGGTCCAGAAAAGTTAAGAGGATCCTTGTCATGAAGGATGTATGAAGTTTTAATATATTTAATGTTTTTTGATCAGTCATTCCTAGATCCAGAAGTTGATGCAGCAAGCACTTCATGCACCGTTACCCTCGGAAGTGCAGCCGCAAATCTAAGGAGAAACACACGGGATCACCCAGCCTAGTGCACCTGGCATTAGCCTTTCAAAGGCCAATGAAAAGCCGTGAAGACTAGCATGGTGAGATGTTTCAGATTGTCGTCCGAGCGGCTAGTCATCCCACTGTGATCCTGAACCTGAAATAGTTCTTGTTTGATCCACATTGAATTCTTCAGCCCTGCGGTGTACCGACCGCGGTCTCCTTTCGGTCTACCGACCGCAGCTCCTGCGGTCGTGCGGCAACACGTCGCAGGACTCTGGCCTTGCGGCCTTGGACGAGCACTGAGGATCACAGACACCGAACGGAACAACAGGAACCACAATGGGAATCTAAAGAGAAGGGGGACAACCTAACATGTTCATCTCAGTTTGTGTGTGGTTTAAGAGAAGTGGGAACCTAATGGTTCAACAAATCTTAAGATATCTTAAGATGAAATGGGATGGAAGAGGACAAAGTGACAACGCCTTATCGTGCTTTCATCAATCTCAATGGGGTCAGGCACATGGAAATGGCTGTAGCACCCGCATGAAGAAGGTAAGACATGTTAGTTCATGTCAATTCACAACATTTCACAGCAGACCTTGTCATGCAATTTGGGTTCGCTGTGACTACACAGACTACCACTGCCATATACTGCGATCACGAGAGGTCCGCACTGGGCTTGTTCCGCACTGCGACGTTTCACCTGTTTGAGCCAATGCACGGCATCAAAAGGTGTTTTCGTGCTAAGCTGATGCGGCAGTGCTGAGCTGATCGAGGGATCTTGAATAAGCACTGCCGCACATGCCAATCACATGCCAACATGTTTGGAGGACGGAGAGGATTGACAGGCTTTTTGGGCTACAGTACACTTCAATTTGTTCGTTCGTGTATGTGTGTATATGGCATCAAGAGGGGTACCGATTTGGATCAGGCATCACTTGGGGGTACACCATTGCTGTTTGAACAGAAGGCGCCGGGCAATCTGTGTGCCAAAGCAAGGGCAGCAAGTGTTTGAGAATACCCATATCCATGGACTTGGGTTGCTCAACCTCCTCAAGCAAGCTTTAGTTCGCAAACTCCAGAACCGTGGGGCTGCAACACATGCCAAAAGAACATGCACTAGAACAAGGGCATCGCTCCCAGTAACAAGGACGCTGCGAACGGGGCTCCTGGCACTACGAAGCTACTAGGGTGGAGAAGAAACCTCAACCCATCGAAACTCGAGTCCGACGGGTCCGAGGCTTATAATAGTGATGGCCTCCAGCCGAATAGAGCGATGGCCTCTCCAAGTGGATCTCTCAAAGGTCCCCATGCTCCTCGCTCCAGTCTGGTCATGTCGACAAGGCTACTAGAGACATGGAGATGCATGCTAGACAATTACATTTTGTTTTTAGTGTTTAGACATTCTTGTAAGCTTGCTGGTAAATGTCTTTCGGACAAAATATGTTTTACAGTTTGCAGATTCTTACAGCCTCGTTTATTGCGTACCCCTGTCCCCTTTTCGGTTCAAAAGCTGCGAAATCTCTGCTCCCTTTGTCCAGGCAGGGATTCCTCTGTTGGCGATCAGTGGCGGACACAGAACAGCACCATGGACCCCTCAGCTCTTCACAACGTCCCTGGAACGATCCCTAAAGACAGAAGTTCTTTTGCTAATAGTTTCTTGTTACTAGTAGTAACAAGTGCCACGCTAGTAGTAACAGGTGCCTTACTAGTAGTAACAAAAAGCTATTAATTTAATAGCTTCTTGTTACTAGTAGTAAGGCACCTGTTACTACTAGCGATGCACTTGTTCCTAGTAGCTTCCTAGTAAGTTGTGTTCAAACACTGTTTGTAATGTGGAGCTAGCAGAAGCCTCTCTTTTGAGGAAGCAACACTTGCTGAAGAGATGTGTAAAAACGGCGTTGAGCGATGTGTAAAAACCGTTGGTCCACCTCCGCGTGAAGCGAAGGGAGTTTTAACGTTTTTCTTCGCCTGGACGATGGACAACACCGGACCTGGCACCGTGGTGGTTCGATGTTCCAACCGATGGCTCTTCGGGTCACCAGATCAATAGAAAGACTGTTCGTTACTAGTCCTGGGGCTCCTGGGGCTCCTGGGGCTCCTGGCCTTACTACTAGGAACAAGAAGACTGTTCGTTTCCTGCGTGAGCAGGCACCTGCGTCCAGGAGGTAGCGGCACCTACTTAATTGAGGGTGAGGGGATGGTGAGGGCCACGGCCCAAAACATCAAGATGTTTGGAGTAACAAAGGGCATCGCTACGAACGGGGCGCTCCTGGCCATACTACTAGGAGCGATCGGACGCTACGAACGGGGCTACTAGTAGCTCCGGGCCTTCACCGAGCCATTTGCGTCTTCAGGGCCATGGGGTGGCCCTGAAGGCCCAGGCGAGCAAAGCGACACGTGGCGAGCGCAGCTGGTGGCGACACACGGCGAACTTGGGAACCAGATGGAACATGATGGAATCAGGATGTTTCTAATAGCTTCTTGTTCCTAGTAGTACGGCCAGGAGCCCCGTTCGCAGCGTCCTTGCTCCTAGTAGCGATGCCAGGAGCCCCTAGTAGCGGATGTGTCTATTTTCTCATATCTAAATATGTGTTCGCTGGTCTTCGTGTTTTTTAGCCATAGGGTTCTGTTTTGCGTCAAACATTAGCAAACGAGGAAACAGGTCCATCCAAGTCCAGCGTGTCCCAGGCTTTCCTCAATCTTGTCCCGAAAGCAAACATAGCTTATTGTTTCTACTGGCTTCTTGTTACTACTAGTTGTTACTAGAAGCGATGCACTTGTTCCTAATCACTTCTTGTTACTCCCTTAAGAAAACATAAGGCTTTCCACTACATGAAGGAAATCGACATCCGCACCATCCTTGGGATTGGAGTGACCTAACATGGAGTGAGCTGAGAGCAAGAAAGGTCAGTCACAGCGCAACTCGAATTCGCATCAACCCCAAACAGCATGGGTTCAATTGGTTTGCTTTCAACAGCCAATTCTTTCATACACTTTCAAGAGCACAATTTATCATACAGTCTTTTTCCAACAACATGTTTTCGGACATACATTTTTCGCGTGTGTCGACGCGTGTGTCGACGTTTGCAAACATGTGTTTTCAATCACATATATGCTACATGTTGTATTTGTACATTCGTGTAGCTCGAGCAATACAAGCATGTGCTTTCAGAGACATGATATTGTACTTCAAAAGTCACGACTCTGGCTTGTCAGAAGCATACCGCTTTTGGCTTTTGTTGCATTTCAGCAATAGCTGTGTGCAATTCGACACTACATGCGCGGGTGTATCCAAAAGCATGATGTGGTTTATCCAAAGATGCAACTACCACGTGGGACGCTGGATTCTCCGTACTTTGGTTACCAAAGTTTTCCTCCGCAGACAGCGTTTGGACACACTGCTTTGATATTTCAACAGTGTTGGCACACACACAAGCAGAAACATGATTTCACAGTTCCAAAACCACAACTCGGAGTTTTCAGTCATATACAGTTGTGCGTATTCGGAACAACACCGGTGCATATCGAAAAGTGTGTGCTCCCAGAACAAAAATACGTTTGTTTCTGGAACGAATCATATCGTATAGTTATGGTTCTGAAAATACAACTGCGTACCCAACAAATGCAAGTTTTCCCAGCTTGCAAATCAATCACATGACGTTTCATCCCTAAATACACAACTCCACTTTGTTCAACGGCATGCCTTGGTGTATCTTCACAACCTGAATTACAGAGGTGTGAGTTTCACAGACATCACAAGCATGCTCTTGTGTATCTTCAAACTGACATGCACCGAACGCGCATTTCGGGCAACGCACAGTGTCACGATGTTCAGAAGCATCTCAGCTCCAGGCAGCACTTGCCGTGTCATTTGGCGTCAGTTAAAGCAATGACATACACGTGTTTTTTGAGCTATACATTGCATGCGCTTTCAGGTAGTTACCTTGTTGTTCCACAGGTGCAGCTGTTCCAAAATCATGCCCTTCTTTCAAGAAAACCCGCCTTTTGTGCATCAAATTTGCCCTTCTCCCCTTCTTCCCTTCATCAAAACACGCCGAAAGCCACAAGCCAACGGAAGCCACCAAAAGCCAACTCAACGAAAGTCGGCCAAAGCCTGCAAAAGCCAACCAATCAGCCACGGAAAGCCACCACAAATGCTGAAGTAATAAAAACAACTAAAATAGACATGATGCCACACAAAAATACGAGCTCCCACCTCGTCACGGTCCACGACCCGCTCCAGGTATGCCAACTCAATCAGGTCTCAAGCAACTACGTCTTGCAGGGTCGTTTGGTACATCCAAACGTGAACTTCAAAGGCAAACGAAACACGAGTAGAGTGATTGCCTTCGCCTGGCAGCTTAGAAAGCACATGTACAAATGACCAAGGAGGCTTGCATGTCATCTTTCAGAAAAGCAATGACAATGAAAGGTCAAAAGCACATCACTTGTGGCAAGACCTTGCAATCTTCCATTTTTTGTGAACAATGGACTGGGAAAAGGACAATGTGAAAATGACAGCCGAAAAATGAATCAACTCCAAGTACGCGATACCGAAACCAATGGAACAACGATTCAACCATTACCGGAGTTCTGCGCTTTCCATGCGGGATCGTGTGTGTGAGATGCGTGTGCGCGTGAGAGAATGGCTGGACGGCCCGGTGGGTTACAAAGATAAAAACAAAAGCCCCACACAAAGATTTAGGAAAGAACAACACAATTGAACAGCAAGCCAAAGCCGCAAATTCTGGCAAAAGCCTGGCGGCTTGGCGTCGGCCTTGAGAGAGAAAGAAAGGGAGAGAACAAAATCAATCCAGATTTCCAGGGCCACAGAAAACATGCAGGCTATACTGTTGGTGGTGAGTTCCCTCAAGCAATTGTCCACTGGTGCATTGTAGAGCTAGAGTTTAGACGGTTTGGGAACTCACTTGGATTTGATTGGTGAGCAAATCCCAACCTTGTGCGCCTTGTGCGCCTTGTGTCATGTGGCCTGGTATCTTTGTGTCAGGCCGTGGCAGATTCAGCGCATGCTGGAGGAGAAGAAGGACATCCCCGAGGCGACGCGAGCTGGGTGAGGACAGGGAAAAGGACACCCCATCTACCTGATTTCAACTCTGAATCCTACAGCATGCTGTAAAACATGCAACTGGTAGGATTTAGAGACCATGCAAGGATGTTTTTTCATCCGATGTCAACAAACATCTTTGAAGTCTTGTTTTATTTATTGCATCATCATTGGCCGGCAAGGCGGCCTCGGGGGCCGGTGGATGCAAGGTCTAGAACTAACATTGAATACGCTGTTGCAGGGGAGTTTGGTTTCATCATTATCAACCAGGGATCATCATCGAAGAGACACATAAACATAGGGTCAACACTAAATTCCGATTCTTTTTTCCAATCGGCCCCATCTGACTATCATCAGCCATTGGTTTTCACAGCGACCGAATACAACCGAGCACGGCCCGCGATGGTCCAATTCCCTGAAACTCACCAAACATGTTTTGCCTGCCCTTGTAGTTAATGCACTTGTTACTAGTAGCGATGCCCTTGTTACTAGTAGCTTCTAGCTACTAGAGGCAGCCAGGTTACCCACCAAAAGAAGCTGGCAGGTGGGTTGGTGGCCGGAATGGGCAAAGCTCTTGCTCCAGGTGAAAGATGGCACAGGGGACCAGAAGATGAAAGAGGCGCTTCGTGAAACAGCTGGGAGAGAGCTGGGAGATCGGAGATATCGCACCACACGTTGAAACGGATAAAACCGTTGATGTGGAAATGACAAACACCTAAAATATCCAAGATTGGAAAGGAGTTGGAAAGGAATTCACTAGTTTGAGAGGATTTCATTTTCTACCTCTTGTTAAGGGCTTACTAGATCCTAAACAACCCAATGGGAAAAGGAAGTGTCTTGTCGTCTTTTCCTTGCAGGGTCGTGTGGCAGACAAGCCAGGCAGACATCATTGCCAATTCTCGTTTCGAATCACAAGTCCAAATGCCCAACAAAACATAATAGCTTTTTTGTTACTACTAGTAAGGCACTTGTTACTACTAGCGTGGCACTTGTTACTACTAGAGTGGCAAATGCCCAACAGACAAGACTAAACGTGACGATGGACTAAAGGTGTCCGGAAGCTCGGTGCCGTACCGCCAAGATGCTGTCGAGCCCAGGAGGAGGAAAGGGCTGCAAAGGAAGCTTTGGAGAAGGCCAGCGGCGGACGAGCGGAAATAGGTTGGTAATTGCTTGAGAAGACATAGAATAACTTGCATCGACATCGCCACGTGTGAGAAAGCTCAATGAACTTGAACTCGCCATCCTTGTTGTTACATAATAGCTACTAGTAACAAGTGCCACGCTAGTAGTAACAAGTGCCTTACTAGTAGTAACAAAAAAGCTATTATGTTTGTCGACCTTTTTTTCTCACACCGATGCACCGATGACATGACCGGCGCATTGCTTCGATGGTCGGCGCATTGCTTCGATTTCCACGGACGGAGCCAAGAGGAGATTGTTTGCCCTGGATCGCCCTGGGAAGAAAGCTTCCAACAATCCCAGTCGTAGTCCCCAAATAAATGACCGTGGCATGGTTTTCAATACATTCGTTTCACGTGGAGATCTACGAACTTCTATCTATTTATTTGGGGGTCCAATTTATTTGGGGCATCAAACACTCTTCAGGTCAGGATGGGATGTTCTTCATGTATCACCACTTCCTGACCCGGCAAGACCACGGGATGAAAACCGCCGATGGAGACGACCCGGGGAAGGAGTCGCCCGCGGGAGTCCCTGAATAAACCGTAAAGAACTACCATTCAAATCGATATGGTTATTGATACAGGATTGTAACCACCATGGCTCATAGATGATCATAGGAATTAGGATTAGTAACCATATTTATAGGATTGTAGTGCAATCTACTGTTGATGTTTAAGCGTTTCAAGGTTTTGGTCGTTTGCAGCATACTTCATCTTTTTTCCATACCACAAGTGCGCCTGCATTGTGAAGGTGAAGGAAGAAATCGAACACATCACGGGTCATCATTGTCACCATGGCTTGGAATGAAGAGGAACCCATGGCAGCCCATCCGACGCAAAGCTTCGAGTCGCATGGCTTAGCTGGCGAGTCGCCGCTCCACTTCCATCCGAACATGTTCCACGGTGAGGAGAAGCAGAACGAGGAAGTGAAGGTCGACGACGGATCGAAGGTGCCACCGATGGATCGACGGATCGACGGATCGAACACAAACCCCGATGGAATCAGATGTTGGCTTCGGTTCAGTGGTGTGAATGTAGCTAGAACGCCAAAGGCTACCGGCTTCATGCTGAAGATGTTTCGTTTTGCATCTCCCAACCTCGCAAAAACACTCATTGAACTGTCTACCCGGGAGTCTGCCCTAATTGAATAAACATCCACAAATGGCATGATGTGCATTCGAAGGACATGGCTCAACGTGCTGGCCAATTACCATATACGACGAATAATCAGCTCTCCATAGCTCTCCACTTCCTTGAGCATTCAGTCCGGAAGATTTGTGGTGCTTCTTGCGGTAGCAGTGAACTCAGATGAGCACATCCTGCACCCGGTACAGAACAGCTAACAAGTGTACACTCTACAGTTGATTCTTGTCTTGGAGGCCGTCAACAACCAGTAAAGTTGCCATATGTGGCTATGATCCTTGAAATGTTCCGGGCCTTGCAACGTTGAGCGATGCAGATGTTTGCTTCTGTGAACGACTTTCGACACATATGCCGAATGCTACACCTGCTTCTTCTTGAGGAAGAGAAGGAGAAGGAGAAGGAAAAGGAGAAGGAAAAGGAGAAGGAGAAGGAAAAAGAAAAGGAAAAAGAAAAGGCCTGAGAGGGTGGGTGTGTTTGTTTGCCAAAGATCTCGGTCTGGGTTGTTTGATCACTTTTGACCCAACTAGTGATGCTTGATTTGTGCAGACACCTGAGTGTGTATTGGAATAGGCCCAAACTAGTAGAAATGGCCTCCAACCTAGAAGCGATGGCCTCCATCCTACTAGCGATGGCCTCCAAGACTATTCTGTCTCGAACCAAAGGTGTTTGGGAGTCAAATCAGAGAGTGTGTCTTCGAGAAAGGCACCAATAAGGTGCACCTTCCTTTACAGTTGGAGATGGGGACCGTCAGAAGAGGCAGTGCACCAGATTTGGAAGAGCGGCCTTATGTGTTCATTAGCATGGCAGTACTTACGGCGCATCCCTCATGCGGCTTCGCTCGTCCGTGGCTCGGGTTGACATGTTGGGACGTCGGTGGGTCTGGTCATTGGGGACTCCAAACCCACGGTGGGCATCGGACCCAGCCTGGTCATGTCAGTAGAGAAGTTGTGGCACCATCTTGTCGAACAGGACAGGTTTGCTTGTCGAAAGACTACACGGCAGGGAATCCACCGAGCGTGCAGCGATCTGCTTGCTTGGAAGACAGATCGCTGTGCAAGTTGTGGGCTGTGGTTTGGTGCTAAGGTTCCTTGCCGTATTGCGTAAGCCACTTTCTTGTAAGAACTGTGCACTTGAGCTGCCAGTTTGGGCTGTTAGAACTGCTCATGCGAGAATGAACACGTATGCCCACCATGCGCCATGTAAAGTGCAATGTTTGCAACACACACACACACCACACACACACACACACGATTGCCCCCACAATCCCCAGAATACATGTCAGAGATTTGCGCACGATTACAGGTACGGTTTACCAGCCATGAGCAATTCAGACTGTGACTAGGAGAAGGAGAAAGAAAAAGAGCAGTCGCGGGTGCAGCGCTTAGGGTGGCCATTGCCATTGAAGGCCCATCGCTCTGAGGGGGAAAGAGGATCGTGGCAGAAAGGACAAACACTTTGGAGGTCTGGAGCCACACCCACCACCCTCCCTCCAACAGGTGGTTGTTGCATGTTTTTCCCAACTTTGGGGGAAAGACCGGTTGCTGGCTTTTGCATGTTGGTTGCCATTGGGCTCGTGGAGGTCCTATGAGGTCCTGAGCTCTTCCTGTCCCCAAGAACTGGAATCATGTTTATTCAGAAGGGCTTGATGTTCCCAGAAAGCAGCATTTGAACGCATCGGTCCAAGGATTTGATCACACCATCGAACTGGTTCAAACAATCAATGATAATCAATGCATCAACCTCATGCTCAAACTTGAGATACAATCATAATGGGCTACTAGGAGCAAGGACGCTACTAGGAGCAACGGGCATCGCTACTAGGAGCAAGGACGCTACTAGGGGCTCCTGGCCGTACTACTAGGAGCAAGTAGCTCCTAGTAGCGTCCTTGCTCCTAGTAAGTGATGCCCGTTGCTCCTAGTGGCGTCCTATTCGGAATAAAAGACGCGTTCCTTACGCAGTCCCACGCAGCATGTCTTCTGAGGCCCGATCGGAGCAAGACCGGAAACGCAAGAGGGATGAGGAACGAGAGGAGTTCCGAAGGGCATTTATGGAGGAAGACCTGCCAGTGATTCTGAGCTGTTTTGAGTATATCCATGTTCTTCAGTCAGTAGGAGGGAAACCATTGCACGCGATGTGGACCAACGACTTACTGTACAAATGAAGGGAGCCCGGGGACCAGCCGAAGTCTCATGAAGTCTACACTTCTTACCCAGTGAGTTCACCTTCAACTCTTTTGCGGGACGGTTGCGAAAAGGAGTGGAAAAGGGCTCACAAGTGGAACGAGACATGCGAACGAGAAGGATTTTCACTCTTGATGTCTCCTGATGCCTAGCCTATCACAACACCCTTTGATTCAACTGCCATCACACACCAGTAAAAAAAAAGGTAAACAAACCTCATGTTCTGGAAAGCTGAGCTGCGAAATACAGAGAGAGCACTCTGCTAGGTCCAAACATGTCCAAACAAGGTTGTGGTTGGGCGGTATCGCACAGACTGCGGCGCTTCGCAGCGACAATGATGACCGTTGAGTTTCCAATTTCAGAAGCAAGACCTGCTGGCAAACCAGGTCAAAGGGTAAGCCACCACAACGCGGTCGGCAGCCTTCGCGCACAAAGCAGTAGCCACCACTCCACCATCTACTTATGTCACAACAGTAATGTCAACCGGCTGACCTGTTGTCAATCATATTCCTCCAAGTGCACTTCCTCCCTTGCACTGGAAAACGACAATTGGCTTCTGCACCTTTACTTTGAACAACACAGCTTTCCATGTATTTTATCGCGAAGCTCTGTTCTCACTATGCATAGGTGCGAGGTGAGCAGCAAAATTTCAATGCTTTGGTGCTTTGCTGAGCGGAGCATCATCACGAGAAAGCTTAAAAGGCAATTCTTTTCACTTTTTCATACATTTAATTCTTGTTTCTAATAGCTTCTTGTTACTACTAGTAAGGCCCTTGCTCCTAGTAGCGATGCACTTGTTCCTAGTAGCTTATTGTTTATACATAAAGGCAGACAAGTAAAGACAAAAGCGGAGGCCAGGGAAGGCTCTCTTCAGTTGCAGGTCCTTCAAGACTGTAGTGATTTTCACTTCTCGTTTGGTCTCGCGCTTCCTCTTCAAAATTGTTTTGTGCTCTGAGATGTTTTTGAGCAATTTAGTTCATATTAGGTCAACAGGACCTTCTCTCTTGAGGAGTCAGCCTCGCAAACTCAGTCAGGGCCAGACAATTCATCCTAGTCAGGGAGCTTGACTTCGAAACACATACATATTTGATATTAGTTGATCATATTTGCATTTTGCCAAGACTGGTGGAACATGACACCACCCGCAGTTCCAAAAAGAAGGCCTGACCTTATAGTGGATGGGTGGTGCAGAACACATATTTCATGACTTGAAAGGCTGAAAGGCCACGTGCCTCGTGTCGGGAGCCCTCGGCGACCGATGCATCGTGTCGAGCACCAAGTCCCCAAAGGTGGTCATGGTGTGACGAAGATCCAAGGCCATCATAGCGATGACCTCCACTACCTACTTGCGATGGCCTCCAACCTCGAAGAGATGGCCTCCACCTAATAGCGAGCAACAAATCAGGGTTTCATGATTGATCAATATCTTTCAGTTCCATCCACTGAACACCCAACGCTCTCATCCAGGAGCGGGAGAAGGCCGTGAGTCGCCACTACCGTGCCAGTCGAAGAGAGCGGGACCGCCGTCGCCACACCGCGCGCGATCCGAACGGGATAAGCGAAGTGAGTTGCTTAGAGGAATCAAACGAGTCAAGGGAAGGCAAGCTGAATGTTGACACTAGGAACAAGAGGACGCTACTAGGGGCTCCTGGCATCGCTACTAGGAGCAAAGACGC